GTTTTTTTATTGCATGTATCTGTCCAATTTTCCCAGCACCATTTATTGAAGAGACTGTCTTGACTCCATTGTATGCTCTTGCCTCCTTTGTCAAATATTAATTGACCGTAATGGCTTGGGTCTATTTCTGGCTTCTCTGTTCTGTTCCATTGGTCTGTATGTCTGTTCTTGTGCCAGTACCAGGCAGTTTTGAGAACCGTGGCTTTGTAGTATAGCTTGATATCTGGTATTGTGATCCCTCCAACTTTGTTCTTCTTTCTCAGGATTGCTGTGGCTATTCCGGGTCTTTTTTGCAGAGTATTTTCTTTTGAAAAACACATCTTTGTCAGAAAGAGTTGTAAAAGTTCGGTGTTCTAGGAGGATTTGACTAGAAGGGGCCCAGGGGTTTGAAAGAGAATTGCTATTGCCAAGCGCTCACTCTGGGCAGCATCTTCACTTTGTTAAAACACAGCAAAATGGGGCACCCCCCAAATTACCCTTGATTTGTTTTCTCCTTTGCATTTTATTTCTTAACTCCTCTTTATTTTCTTGTCATTTCAGAGAGTCTTGGAAAACGACGAAAATGTAGAAGAAGGAAATGAAGAAGAGGATTTAGAAGAGGATATTCCCAAGCGAAAGAACAGGACCAGAGGACGGGTAAGCTGGGATGCCAGGAGGGATGAGAGAAATCAGGGAGGTGAGGTCCCACCGCAAGGAGAGAGAGAGAGAGAGAGAGAGAGAGAGAGAGAGAGAGAACATCCATGGTCTTCCTTGCAGAATTCCCGGAGTGGAAAACACCAGAGGGCTCTGATCCTGGGTGATAGCCTGCGAGAGTTTAGGGCTGGCAAGAGGGAGAAGAGGCAGAGGGTGCCCCGAGGGGAGGGGGATGCTGAGGCTTAGGGGCGGTTGGGGGTGTGAACAGCGGGAGGGTGGAGAACAAGGAAAATGTGATAGTTGTCCCTGTTTCTTTTCTTTTCTTTTTTTTAAAATCTTTATTGTTCCAGTTCCTGTTTCTTGGCCACGAAAGAAGGCTGAAAGTTTCCTGCCTCCCCTCTGCCCCGCCCCCCCCAGGGCTGCCCCAAAATGACAGGGTCAGGACACCTGCTGTGGGGTGTGTTTCGTTAGGCAGAGAGTAGGCCCACAGCTGGTGGTTCCCAAGCAGGTATGGCCTGGGCGTTGGAGGCTGGTGGGAGGGGGGGAGGGAACACCA